TTGTGGTTGTAATGTGACAAAATATGGAAAAGTTCAAGGGGTATGAATACTTTTGCAAACCACTGTATATATATAAACAAACACCATTATGTCATCTTAGCAAGATCTGATACAAGGTCAATGGAAAACACAAAGATAAACACAAGTGATACAGTATCTAAGAATGATTATTGTTGTTAGCAGATCTTGTTCTGACTTTAATCATTCTATTTGCAGATGAACAGCATGTCATGAAAACCCTAGGTCATTAAAGGATGTCATGAATTACTAGCTTAAACATAAAAAGTATTAGTTCCATTACAACACGAAACCATGAAATTAAAAGACAAATAATATTTTAAGCAGATGCATAAGTCAGTATTATTCAATTTAAGTGGAGTTTTAAGTGTGTGATCGGTCATTTTAGAAACTGCCTTGAGATAGTTCTAAAACTCTCAGTCAAGAAACTTGGTGGAGAACCCAAGTAAGAAAATGCACCTCTGTAGTGTACATCTGGTGTGAAATACTTACTCCTTGGTAATGAGGCCCCTTGGTCCAGTGGGTGTGGCCAATTTGGGGTCGATACCATGAGTATCCAGAATGTGTCTGGCTGCTGGACTCAGACGTAACCTGGTCAAGGAAAAGCATACCATGTACAAAAAAATAAAATAAAATAAAATAAAATAAATAAAAAGCTGTGCATATCTAACATTAATATCAATTTTAAAATTTGAGTTTAAGTTTAAATCTTTTCTCTAAAGACGCATTTTGTAATGWTTGTATAAAAAGTTAAATCATGTTTTATACTTTTAAAGTAAACAATAGGTTGACAAAAATAGACTTGTTTTTATTTTGCATCAAACCTGTACGAAAGTTCCTTTCCTTTTTTCTACAACCACTACCATCTACATACCAACATCTATTTAATATCACGTCTTATTTAAACCACTGTAATCTCGTCAAATCCAACAGCATGTTTGACAGGTTTTATTCCAACAGTGACACTCACTGTCCTGACTTGACTGGTTTTGGTGGAGGACTCGTTGAAGGAGCGGGAGAAGTCAACACTGAGGCAGGGCCTGCAGGCAGGACAGCTGATGGAGGAGCAGCATCTGGAGGGGGGATCTCAACCTGCTTCCAGTCCTGCCCTTCCTCCACCATGAGGGCGATGAGAGTGCCAAGGCGCACGTTGCGACTACCCTCCTCCATCTGTAAGGACAGCACACAAGGCACTTATAAGCTAAAAGGAAACATCTGTTCACAAGTTTATGTTGTAAGATCAGTGTGAAAATTAAAATATACACAGTATATACTGTATATATACAATACGGGAGAAAAAGGCAACTCTAATATTTAAAACATTTTAAAATAATAAAGCTGTGGCTGCTACAGGAGGGGCATCCGATGTAAAACAATTGCCAAATCTTACACACGAGTTCACTTGATAGGACACCCCCCGCAGAGGAGAGCAGCCGAAAGAAAACAACATCAAAGACATTTTCAAATGAGCTGTCTGTTGTCATTATTGAGCTTCTATAAAGCTCAGCTGCACTTGAATCAGCTCTTGGTGTGTGCACTGCAAGTGTTGGTTATCTTGTCTCTCAACCTTTGATTCTCTGTCTTGTTACAGAGTAATCCGAATCCAACACAAGCCGGCCTTTCACCAGTGCTGTTCCACAAATACGGATCGATTTAATTGAAATGTTGGGCACAACAGAGTGTTGGACAGTGGTGTTTGTCACTTTTTATTACATAGCCTTTTGAAGCATGGCAAAAAATAAATAAAAAATACAAAGAATAAGAAGAAGCAACTATCTGTGTTTATATATTAAGCTTTAGGCACTTATCAGCAAAAAAGTAAACCTCTTATTTGAGTTGTTCACAAGTTTATGTTGTAACACCAGATGCTGCTCCTCCCTCAGCTGTTCTACCTGCATTACTGCAGTCAAACACATTATATGTGTGTGTGTGTGTGTGTGTGTTGCCTTCAAAGCTGACAGTGACCTCTCTGTCAAATAGGCTTGTAAACACAAAAACAGAACTCTAATGATCTTATCCATCAAACTGGAAAGAACATCAGAACGTGAACACCTGAGCTGCATGTTCTTATCCTGCGCTACTTTAGATTAGAGTGGACCAAACAGTTTGCAAACATAGTTATCAAGACAAAGATGATTTCTAAATACAAAACAAATTAATTTGATATCAAAGTCAACAAGTAGGCCTGCAGTGCAAACTGTTTCAGTAAACTATTTTATCATAGTAATTTTAAAACTCATTAAGATAATTCTTTTGGCACTCATTAAAAAATGGTGCACAACGTAAACTAAATATAATGCAACAATGCAAGCTATTCTAYGAATGGCAATGGAAACAATCATGAATAAAAAAACAAAAACTAAAAATACAAACAATGAAAACGTGTTAATGAGCGCAGCCTGATAGAATGTAATATCAACAACTGCACATTATTTCATGACTTTCTAGCATTTATTTATGCCAAACTACTTCTCCGAGTCAACCACTACAAATAATTGAAGTGCTGATGAATGTTATTCATTTACTTGTTTTACTTAAGAACATAGTAGTGAGGAGATACTGAAAACAACCACAGTAAATATATAGTACAATTTGTATTATGGGTAGCTGCATATACAGGTGGCTACCCTGCAGAGATGTTGGACTCAACACTGCCATCAAATGGTTAAAGACAACACAAAACCTATGGGAAATGCAAATTAGTTTTACCCCAGTGTGGTTTTGATGATCAAAACTAGCAAAACCTCATTTTTACTTATAAACGTGGTGTGGTCATGAAAAAA